AAAGAATTTAAAATTTGTACAATTTATACGTATTATAAATAATAACTAAATATTAACATATAAAAAAAATTAAAGCTGTAAGCCTTTTTTTTTTTAGCTTCAAGAGCCGGCCCGTGTGGCTTGATGAGCCAAAAGGGCCGGCTCGGGCTTGAGTTGACTCCCCAAAATGGGGCTCGACCCAAGCCTGGCTCGATCCCACCGCGAGCCGGCTCGACTCTGGCTTTTTCTGGGCCGAGCTCGAGCCGACGAGCCATATTGACATGACTAATTCAATACGATGAATCTAATATATTGCTCGAGAATTTCAATAATATTTTGAATAATGTTTTTACCAAATAATAAAATGCTAGCGAGAATTCAGTCCTTTATTTGGTGTACCTACTTCAACAATAGACTTTGGATAATGCTTGTTATACATCAGAATTTGTATAATCTTTTACAAATTGATAACGTGTTGACAAGAAAGTGTGAGAGTTTTTTTATTTGGTTGATCAAATCTCGTCACATCATTTGTTGATAAACAAATTTGTAAGATGTAATATACATGTAGCACAATCAACAATTATCAGCCCATGTTTGGTGAGAATTAAAATTAGATTTTTAGTAGATTTTTATAAAAGTTGATAAAATATGTTAATGAAATATATGATTGAAAAATTGTGAAATCCATGAAATATATAATTAAAATTAATGATTGACTTTGATATCAACCAATAGGAGTAGCGATGGCAATGGCTCAGCCCGTATACGCACGAGCTCGGCTTGTTACTCGTGTATTTTTTAATTTTAATTTTAATTTTTTTTAACTATATCTGTTCTAAACCTTAAAAAAAAAAATTGAAATTAAAAAAAATCCAAAAGCTGCTCGTTAAAAAACGAGCCTAACAGGTTGGCTCGCTAGCGAGCCACCTCTTGGCTCGGGTAGACGAGCCTAAACTACTCACTAGCCTCTTTTTTACGAGCCGAGAGATCGAATTGACGAGCCGTTCGACTCAATTACCATCTCTAAATTGGAGTGAAATATGTTTTAAGCTTTTCGAACTTGCACTTATTTATCCCGAATTTTCTTTTAATTTCGTTTTTCAAATATGTTTTAGGCTTTTCCAGCCACAGTGAGCTATGGCCCCACGTGCTAACACACAGGACAAATATATCATTTCTTCCCTTTGCAGATAGGGACCAGGAAAAAGGAAAAAAGAATGGAAAAACCTTTCGCTTACTGCAATCCTGGGGTGGTTCAGCCGTGTCGAGAACGCGATCCCGATAACTTAACGGCCGTAGCAAACTTCGACTTTGCTGATTGAATTTGCAGATTTCTTGTAAGTTTCAAGAAAGTTGCATGATTGATTAATTCTTCGTGTTTCTGTAATGGTACTTGTAATACGTGCTTGTATATATATATATATCTGTTATTACGTGTTTTACGCATTCCTCTGTATGTGTGGTTTTAATCCAAGAAAATGGGTGAAGATTTCTTGACTTTGTGGTTATTGAACTCTTTGGTTTATTGGACAAAATTAAAAAAAAACGTGTAACGAAGCAATGACTGAGGGATTTTGACTTAAAATTTCCAATTTCCGTAACTATGAGAATCGACTCTATTATCTAAAGAGACAAGAAGAGGAAGAGGGGAAAAAAATCACTTGGATTGGGAAGAAAAAAAAGTAAGAAATTTACTGATTTTCTTTGAAAAATCATTTATACAATCTCCGTTATTTGGAAATTAAAGGTTCCCAGCAAAAGAAAGAAGAAAGAGAAGAATTCAAAAAGCCTAATTTAACTGCTATCTGGACTTCATTGCTAAATTAAAATAATTCATTTTTCATTTTCTTATTGTGGTTTCAGGTTTGTCCAGTAACAATTAATTGTACTGATCATTTCCAACTTCTGACTGTTTTATATAATTGGCGCTTAAAGATTTTGCTTTGGGATTAAAGAGGATGTCCTCTGAAGTCGAATCCTGGAAGAATTATGGCGAAGATTTTAGCAGTGGACATTTGTTACGTGATATTGAGGACTTAGCAAAGCACTTTACTTGCACAACACTCTGCCTAAAGCATTAAATTCATCGCCCTGATGTGGCAGCTAAAACTAGGTTCCCAAAACAAAAATTTGAAGTCATTATTCAGGATTCATTGCAATAGGACAAGAAATCATCAATATGGAATTGGAAGCCCTTGAAGGCTCTGACCCGCATTGGTAATCGTAGATTTAACTGTTGCTTCTTTCTCCACGTGAATGTTATTGAAGAGTAACCTTCGAATTCCGATGAACTTAGGTTGTACGTAATGTGGATGTGCAAAGGGGATCTGTTGACAACTCGCCCTGCTCGGGTCTGTGAAGGAATAGCTGAGTTCGAAGAGTCTCTAATGCACACGTGCACAGTTTATGGTAGTAGAAATGGCCACAAACATTCATCAAAGTATGAGCCCAAGCTCTCCTCGCTTCATGTCTCTGTGATTGGGGCACCAGTGCATGACATTGGGAAGCACTGGATTGATCTATCGAATTTGCTTTCTCTTACTTTTGAGGAGTTAGATGAGGATAAGAGGTGCTCAGGTAAGTGGACTCCAAGCTTTAAGCTCACAGGCAGGGCTAAAGGTGCCACGCTGAATGTTAGTTTTGGGTTTTCCATATTGGGGGATAATTCATTTGAACCAGGATGTTATGTGTTCCTAATATTGTGGGGGAAAGAAGACCAATAGTTACAGAACATCTTGCTGGTTTTGATGGGACTAATGGAACCAATCGTCTACATATGCTTGGTAGTGTCCAAAGATATTCAAGTCGAGGATCACATCGTCAGTCCCAGTCTTTAGATCTTCAATTTCTTGACCAAATTTCTCCAAATCAGGAACTTCTCCAATCTATAATTCTTTTGCATCGGACACTGGATAAGGGAAAGATGGGTAATTCGGTGGCGTTTGATTTCTTCCATGAAGATTTGGAGTCCCTTACCTCAAAGTCTGGCTCCTCTTCTGAGTCTGTGATGGAAGTACCGGAAATATGTTTGATGATACAGAGTGTACTGTAATTGAACAGGGTGTGAAAGTAACTGTGAAGGAGCAGGAGAAAAAAGAACAATATGCTTGTCAAAGTTTTGACAGTTCTGTAATTGAAATTATTGATGTTGCTGAGATTTTGGAGGGACATGGCGTAATTTCTGATGAGAATGCGGCATGTAATTCAAAACTTGAAGAAAGTGGTTATAATGAGAACAAAAATGCCAAGGATGATGGTGAATACAAAGGGAGTGTCGGGCACTAATGAACCAACTGGTGAAGAACTTGATTCATTCCTAGATATTAGAAAGTATGACGAGCTAGAAAATTACAGGTAGACAAAATCTATTTACAAAGGAGGGAAGTTAGTAAAATCGCATAGCTTGGGAGATATTGTAGAATCCATAGCAAATGATTTTCTCAACATTTTGAGCATTGAGCAGGATCCAGTACAGATGATGAAGTTTCTGACAGTGGGCCTGAGTCTCCGAGAGATATTATTTTGGGACAAGTTGAAACGAACACCTCGGCTTGGCGAAACTCCATATTTGATATTGGCATAATGGCAGAACAGAAATCTAGATGTCTTGCTCCTCCTAGTGGCTGTTCAGAGGATTTGATTTATTATTTGCTTTTCAAGAAGGCGAAAGGAAGCATGGTACTGGGATCCAGTCATTGTGGTGTAAAAGAAAGCTTTAACGCATGAATGGGGTCTGAATGAAAAAGCTTTTCAGAATTCTCCTTGCACTAGCTCTGGTGGATTTGGAAGTCCAGTCTGTATTCCGGCACAAGAACAACTGAAATTACCTTCTCTTGAAGAAGGCCAGGTCCAATTATTCGGACAAAGGATGGTGGCTTCTTACGTTCAATGAATCCATTGCTTTTCAGAAATTCCAAAAATGGTTCCAGACTATTCATGCAAGTGTCTGCTACATTTTTTTTTTACCTGCAGCAATGGTGATAGAAAGTGTAGAGGTCTGGTTTACTGGAATAAAAGAGAAGCAGAGCAACGAGAGTGATGAAGAATTACTCTGTAATTTTCTTCCAAAAAGATAATGTGTAATCTGTATGGTAGCCTATTTATACAAGAGAAATGAAATAATCTATACACAACAAATTAAAATGAATATACAATATTGCCCTCAAGCATATTTATAGTTCAAAACGTCATGATCAAATCTGTTGAGAATTTGTTGGGCATGTAGTGGTGTTGCTCTCTCGGTTTTGCTCTTTTTGTGTGGCAGCTCACTCATCATTCTTTAATAAATGGGATTCAGTTTCATGGAGATACTTCAATGCTGGGCATCCGAGGGAGTTGAAAAGATGTCTACTCAGGCAAATGAATTGATGCCACTGGAAGATATCACATTGAAGATGATACAAGAAGTGGTGTCGGAAACTGAATCAAGATCAGACGTGTTTCAGAGGTATGTAAATTTCCTTTATTGACGTTGAGAAATTAAGCTAAATTCTCCAGAAATTCTATTAGTAGTTTTCAGATTGTAAAGCATTTATTTCCTATGTGAAGATGACTTTTGCAGCATGAAATATTGCCAGTTTCTCAGAATTCTGATACCCTGCTCTCATGCTCAAATTGCAAGGAGATTGAGTCAGATTATGCATGTTAAGAAAATCTTGTTCCCATATCGATAACAAATATTGAAGCTCTTTTAATTGAAGAGCTGAAGATTCAGTCCAACATTCCAGATCAGGAAGCGCCTTCAAGCATTAAGGACCAACGTGCTGGGAAGTTGGCTTCCTTAGGTAAGAGTGTCCAACTTGGAGGAGACTTTCTCGATGTTGATGAATTAATTGAATACTCTGTGTCACTTGAAGAGTGGTTGAGACTGGATACTGGAGATTTTGATATTGGAGACAAAGATAACGAAAGAATTGTGTAACGGACAATTAATGGAGGGATGATGAAAGTTGTGGTGCTTTTGGTAAAAACTTCACAATGGGTCTAAAAGTGCAGCTTAGGAATCTATTTTGTAACTATGAAATGGTTGGTTCCTCAATGCTTGGTCTGATTCAAGTAGAGAGGTTTTATTCCCCCCTGCAACGAGAACAGGATGGAGCAGAATATGATCAGGACGAGCAATTGATTCAAGAAAGGATCAATTTCGAAAATGAAATCCATGAAAACCACGTTCCTCAGTTTAAAACATCGGACGTCCATCTTACCGGTCTGAATGTTGAGCTTGTTGATAAACAGCTTTGGGGAACCAGAAGACAAAATCAATCTGGATCCGGATGGTTATTCTCTAGCGGAATGAATTCTACTAATGAGCTTTCAATCTCCATTTCAAATGCAATCGTAAAATCATCAGCACAGATAACGAGGAAGGTGTGCCCTGGAGATGTACTGTGGAGCATCGCCTCTAATATTCATGGTGACTCAGCTACATGGGATGAAGCTGTTGCACTAAATATTTATGCAAGAAATCCTGATATTATTTTTCCAAATGAATTGTTAGGTTCTCGATCGAGTAGAGAAAAACGCAATTTTTGGTGGACTATTGAAGCTTTCCTTTTGGCTGAAACACGCAGATTTGCTTTACATCCGATTCTTCGTGTTTGTTAATATTTTGTGTTTATATCCATGATATGTATCAATTCTGCAATTTGTCTGCTATAGTCGTAATATTGTGGCCAAGACAGTACGAGAGACCATACATGTGTTTAGACGGACTTGTTTCGGCCTGGTTTGGTTAAGCTGTTGTTTCTAAACATGTTCTGTATTCGGATTAGTACTATAGTTTCTAAACATGTTTTGTATTCTGATTAGTAAAAGTAATTATTGCATCAAAAACTTACTTATTTGTACAAGTGAACTTTTCAGCTTGGCCAACATTCTCGTATCATATAATGACTTGAACATATATATATCTAACATTTTCTCAATATAGGCACTGAAAGTCTCTCTGTGTTCATCTTTCATCTGATAAATGCTGCAGAGCTGTGATGTAACATTGCCAAATGCCCTTGATACGTTTTTTCTGACCAGCCCATTTACTCTTTAACTATTAAAAGATAGTTCGGAGGATCTCTAAAAAAGGTAGGCCCTGATTAAGTTCATTTAATAATAACTCGGAACTCCTTGTACAACTATAATTGTAAAACAGTGATGTTATTTCAGAATTCTCCATTAGGGCTGCGGACCTTGGTGGATGTGGATGCCCTCGTACGTTGTTACTACGTACCTCGGATCCTCTTTGTCTCTTTCAACTCTTTTCTTCACTGGGCAGCCTTCAACTGAACACTTGTAATAGTTCCTGTTTGATTACAGGATACGGTAGTTAGAGCTCGACTCTTTCACAAATCTCTAATACGTATCGAGTAACAAATGGTTGTATACCTTGGATTTGGGCTGTTTTTCACCATCTTTTTTCCGTACTTCCTCCACTTGAAGCCATCATCTAGTATCTCGATCTCTGACTTTGTTTTGAAAGCAACCTTCTCTTTCAATTCTTTCCTCTCCTTGCCACTCCCTCCACCTGCTAGTAACACAAACACAATCCATATAACACAATAATATACACGAAATTGTAAAATAACGACATTCAAGACTTGCTTACTGCTACTATCTCCTTCATGATAGCCACTGGAGTTTACAACTTCATTTGATGCATAACCTGGATTCTGAGGATAACCCGACACAACAAATGCTGGATCTTCATCAATCCAGTCATCGAGCTCGAAGAAATCAGAAAATTCGAAGTTTCTCTCAGGGGCGGTGTACTCACTCATTGGAGTGTCCGGCGCTCCAGCTCCATAAGTGGCGCCGGGAATGTTTATATTCTGGAGGCTATGCTTATCCATTCTTATCGACTCACTTGCAGTTGCATTCTGTTTATATATGATGTATCATCAGCTGAGGATACTTCCTATTTCCTAGTAAACTTCCTAGGAAGTCGAAAGAAGTTTCGTAGGCAGCTACTGCTTATTGCAGTGGTGGCTAAATCACTTATTGGGAGGGCCCAGTAAATCTGTAACATCACAAGAGTCTCGTGCAAGACTTTGCTGATTATGAATTGGGTGTGAAGTCTACTAACAGTCTCGTGCTTAAAGTCAACAGCCCCTTCCTGACGGGTGTCGAAGACAAGTCTATATACACATAAAACTTGAATAAAATGATTTTTTCAGAATGTGTGGTTAAAGAGTAGAAAAAAGTATGAGTTCACTTGTAAAATTATTTTATTAGAAGAATATATTGTTAAAAATAGATTTAAGAAAAAATGATTTTCAAATAAGCTTTGATGAACAAACTATACGGTAGAGTGGTAGCTCTTGGAGAGAGTACAAACCCATATTGTGCAGCATTATTCGAGCACATATGATTTAAAGTCAGCTGAAAGAGAGCCGTGTGACTAAGACAAAACTTAGCAGTCATTTCACATTCGATTTGGACCACGTTTATTGGTCGATTGATTATGGATGACAAGTGAAAAATTGAGGGTAGATGAATAATATATCATATAGCATTAGGAAATAACCAGGAAATAGAAAGTTTGGGTCCAATCTGATCAGATGTGACCCAGCGCAATACTAAAAGTAGTTCATTCCCATTGAAATTAAAAAAAAGTCGTGCTATTGTTGGGTCTTGAAAATCATGCATGTGTGACACATAAATGAACCAAAAAATTTTTTTAGTTCAAAATGACTTGCTAGAATGCATATCAAGTACTCGTGTTACATTTCTATTTTGTGTTTCTTTCTTTTTTGGATGACGAGTTATATTTTGTTATTAGAGAGGCACAAAGCCATTTACTCATGGTCGGTGATTTGCAACTTTGGGTTGCATTTGGATGTCGAGTTCTTTGAAAACTCAATTTGAAGATCAACTTTCTTTGANCAATTTGAAGATCAACTTTCTTTGACCGAGTCTATTTTAATTTTAATTTTATGATTTAAATATATATTGGTATCACCTTGTTCAATTCTTCCTTCATCTATTAGGCTCCGTGAATGGTAGAATGAAGAATTTTCAATTAGAGAGAGGAAGTCAACAAAAATTAGAAAGTCTGTGAATAGGAGGAGGTCGTGGTCACATCTATACCGGCATTAGGGTTGTGTATCAACGATGACTTCCTCAATGACTCATTCTCCTATTTTTAATGCCCGTCGAAAGAAGAAATTTGGGTGTTTAGCCACTGACAAATACTATTCATTGAATTCATTTTGAGGGCCCATGACTAAAACATGATGATGGTAGACGTATTTCATAAGATTTCTCCAAGTAAGCCCAAACGAATAGACTTAGGAGTGAATTTTTGAGCCCGACACTAATTGATAAAGGTTGGAAAAATTGAGACAAAAAAAAAAAAA